TGAATACTGAATTGTGAATAAGATTTACTAATTGTTATGAATTATACTCAAGATTGTCAATAAATGCTAAGAATCATATTGTTGTGTGCAAATAATATTCTTTATGGAAATCCCAGAATTTACAGTTATCTCATAATTATATCACAACTATGTATATTATTTTGTAATTAAAACACTATATTAAATTTGTAAAAAAATATATGAAAAACTCATTAATATATTTTGAATTATATTATTAATAAATTATATATTAAATATAAATACTCACAAAATGAAAAAAATAAAATACAATTGTTAAGACATTAATGCAGATAAAAGATAAATGTTATAATCAATGTAAACCAGGGAAACTCAATCATAATAAATGTCAAAGAATTGTATACTGTAAAATAGTGATTCAAAGATTATAATTTTTGAGTGCCGGTGATTACGGTAATGACGGCCGTTAGTGCCCGTGCCGATAGAGCTTTTGCAGGTATGTTATTTGACACATGCACAGATATTAAACACTTAATCTCGTTATAATTTTATTTATTAATGAAAATAACAACATAAATATTAATTAATTGTCTTATAATGTATTGTAATATTAAATTAATGGTATACGGTATGTTATTGTAGCATATATTTAATATAATGCTGCATATTGATATTGCATAGTTTTAATTATATTGAAAATAATAATAAAGATTAAGAACATTTGAATATTAATTTTATATTACAAAAATATATATTCTATAATCGACACTGAAATATTATTTAATACACTATTTGTAAATATAAAATTTGTAAGACAAAACACATTACTCTAAGACTTAGAGTCTAAGTAATTAATGTATTATATTAACCAATTATTTATTATTACAATAAGCTTTTTATATAAATTTTAGTCATTCATTTTTATTGAGTTGCATTTATACAGTAATTAATAGTGAAACAATTAACAAACAAATATATGCAATATTAGATATAATATTGTTGATAAATATTCATTATATCAAATGTTATCTCACATTAATTGCAATAAAACATTTATACTCGTAATTGTTTTGCATTAGTTTCTTGATAAAATTAATGTTATTACATTATCTATTTAAAATAAATAAAAGCTTTTTTTCCAAAACAAGTGAATATACAGTAGAATAATGTTTTGGTGAAATGTCAAATAATTATTAATTTTTACATAAATATGTATTTGTTTTATATTAAGTTTTAAATATCATTACAACAATTAATATTTAAAATTATTTGAATAATTGTACAGTAATATTTTCTAAAAACAACACAATCAAGTATATTTAGTTCACAAATATTTGTCATTTAAATAATGCCATTCATTAAGGAATTATTCTTATTATTAAAACAAGATTTGTTTAAAACATTTGTGTATATAATATGTTTGTCTTCATGTTTAACACATTTGTATGGATTGACCGCAAAATACTTGTCATACGAAACGATAACAGATGTAAAACATGAGGAATACGGCGACCAAACATCGCAGCCATCCATCACTATATGTGTCGATAAATACAATCTCATTGCTAGCGATGTCCTCAACACATATCATATGAACACTAGTGATGACAAACAGTGGACACAATTGGAGGACAAATTCAATAATATTTCAATCGGCGATCAATTTGACAAATTTAGTCCATTTGATGATTGGTTCAAATGTTTTGTACGAAGAAAACAAAATGTTACAAAATGTAGACAACAATATGTATCTATCGATTACTATAGCCATTGCACGACAATTGTAAATAACCTTGGCCAACATAAAAATAGCCACAATGGTAGATACACCAATGGACGTAACAAGTTGGATAAAGATTTGTCTAGCATTGTGCTTTCTATAGACAAACAGTATCTCCAACATGATCAAAATATATTGCTTTATTTGCATTCGCCAAACGAATCGCAATATTACGGCTTTGATTGGTCGTTACTGTCCATTAATTCATCCCGAAGCAACTTGGCCAGTATTAAATACTTGACCACTATGTTAATTCGTTTGTTTAAATAAATTTATTTACAATTAATGCTATCAATAATTTTAAGCGCGTATTGAGTTTTTGCGCCTTTGACTTTGAAAACAGTGCCAAAACATCCCAAACCAATGCACACAACTCATTGAAAGCACGTTCATATTCAGTTAATTTTAGATTATTTTAATCTAAATAAATAATGAAAAACTTGTAATAATTGTTAATAATTGTTATCATATTTTAAGTTTTAATATAAAGTTTATATAAAATTTTGTTTAAACAAACTCCACATTTTTCACTAAAGCTCTCAAAATTATCGTAATTATAGTCTTTATAATTGCTTAAATGTATAGTTTTAAAATTCATTTGATATTCACTTAAACAGTAATCAAATATATTTGTGTAAATCGTTTCTAACAATTCCATTGTGTAAGTAATTGTATAAACCTTTTCACTCGATATACAGATTATTGATATAGTATTGTTTTGGTTTGATTCTACAACACATAAATTGGTTATATTATCAAATAATTTGGTCACTGTTTTATGTAATGATTTAATATCGTTACAATTATTAAATATTTTTCCACAAAAATAAACAAATCCATCGTTTGTTAGGAAATAGGTTTCACTGTTCATCGGATACACCGTTTGAATGTTATATAAATTGTCAATCATTTGTGGTTTGAATACATTATCCGATATATTGTGTCCCAAATTGCAGTCATTTCGACCCCAACCGAAGACTCGGCCATCAGTTGTGACGGCAAACGAGGAATTCGCATAACAATAAACACCACGTATTTTATACTCAATCTCGTTGTCAATAAAGTGTATTTGCATTGGAGTTATTAATTTAGTCGCGTTCTGTTCCCCACAACCTAACTGTCCGTCTCTATTATAACCCCATCCGTAGACACAGTCATCACCGGTGACCACAAGTGAGTGACAATAACCACAACTAATATCACGGATAACAGGATTATTAGGCAATGATATGATTTTTGGCTTTAAATAATTTTCAGTTGATGATAGTGCTAACTGTGCCAACCCATTCCGGCCCCACCCGTGTATAGAGTTTTTGTTATTAATGGATAAAACAAAATCCGCGCCACAAATAAATTGTTGTATATTTTGTTGACATAATTGTGGTATAATATGCGGTGTATTGACAGCCCTATTGTGTCCCAAACCGAGTGATCCGTAATAATGAACGCGACTAAATTAATAACTCCAATGCAAATACACTTTATTGACAACGAGATTGAGTATAAAATACGTGGTGTTTATTGTTATGCGAATTCCTCGTTTGCCGTCACAACTGATGGCCGTAAACCATATCATCGTTTGTCACAAACAATACATTAAACTCATTCTTGTCATCGAAAACATGAAATAACTTAATAGTATTTATATCCAGTTTGTGATCATTAAATGCTTTAAGATTATCATAAGAATCAATTGTATTATTTAATTTACAATTTAAAAACTCGTAGAAAAATTGGTTGCCATTAATTTTAAGTGCATTTAATATATCATTTAATTTGTCATCATTTGAAGTAATCATTTGTCTGTCAACTGACCAGTAGTTATAGTCGTCGAGCACTCGAGCACTGGTCGGTCTACTGTTTGCAATCGGTTGCATCATTTGGATAACAATTTCATACAGTTTAGCAATATTGACAGAAAACGAGGTTATACTGTATTTTTCATTTGGATTATCGCTATTAAAATAATATAATTTAGTTTATAATAAATAAACAATGAATTTTTATAAATGACATACATATCAAACAAATTAAACAAATCAAATGCAATCACTCCCAGGCTATAGATGTCTACTTTGATGTTATATTTAGTATAAATAAATTCTGGTGCCATATATCGTGAAGTACCGACATTTCTGCTGTGACTCATAGATGACATGTTGTGATAAGTGGCGGAACCGAAATCACAGATCTTTATAAACCGATTATTATTACTATTGAGTGAAATCAACACATTTGCCGGTTTGAGGTCCCGATGGATAACCGGTGGACACAACTCATGCAAATACCGCACACTCTCTAAGAGCTCTGTGAATATTTCACAGCAAAGAAAATATTCAAATACTTTCATCGGTTCTCCCGTTTGTCTCCCGAAGACTAAGTGTTTGTTATCAATAATTGTCTGTAGATTTTGTGTATAAAAATCCATTTCAATATACATTTGATTATTTTCTAGCCATGAGTTGCGATAATTAACAATATATTCTGACCGCAAATTCGCTAGATTTTGCACCTCTCTTATGATTTCCTGTCGTTTACTGTCGTCAATGTTCTCTATTGTAATTTACATAATTTATAACATAAATTACAGTTAAATAATATATTAATTAAAAATTTAATATACAACTTACCAAGAAACTTCACAATCTTAACCGCGCACACCTCTTGCTCTACTATATCCCTTACTTTATACACTTCACCGAACCCTCCCTTCCCTATCAGCTCAATCTCCTCAAAACATTCCTCATAAAAGGTTTTGGTAAACTTGTTTTGTAAAACTGAAAAAGTAGTATAAAAATGCAAAACATACAAACACCAAGGTTTAAATTTAGGTATTTTAACAGCACAATTTATAAATGTTAGATCATTAAATTTATATAATGATTATTACCTTTTTGACTAAAATTTGAAGCCATTTGTATAATAATATTACATTTAATTAATATTAACACTAATTTTTAGGGCTTATTAATAGATTACTTTAATATTATACACAATTTAGACTATTTTAATGATTTATAAAATTGTATTTAATAATTTAGTTTTATTGATGATGTAGTAAAAATATAATATATTTAAACAACAATTAATTTGTTGTGTATTTTAACTAATTTATAATTAACTTTTAATGTTATGAATAGAAATATATTAAAACGTATAAATAATTGCGTCGCAAATAACACTTGAATTCATTGCCTGATATGAATTGTGATAATTAGTGAAAACTATTGGAAACACAGATATTATGGCAAATAATTTCATACAATATATGATAAATACGTTAAAAATATAAAGTCTTTAGAAATATCACATACGTTGTTAAAATGAGATCAAAAATAATCTTATTGTTAATTATGTTTAAATATTTTGTAATAATCAGTCAATTAATTTGTTTATGATGTTCTTGTATTTAATTTATTTTCCAATTCATTAAAACAAGAATAATTTTTTATCGATTCTAATCGCTGTATAATTTAAACACTAATTGTTTAAAAAAATAATTGCTGATATAAATTTTTAATAATTTTTTTTATAAATTACGGAAGCGTTTGTCGTCCAAAAACATGAAAATAATTGATTTAATTTAATGAACATAACAAACATATTATACACTGAATCATAACAAAATAGCACATGTTATGTGCCATAGATTCCAAGTAATAGAAAAGTAAATGGTTGTAAAATTATTAGTTTGATTGTTGAATGCAACTGATGTACTGTTTTGTATACAGAAAAAGTTCATAGTGTATATCTGGGGGGAAATATTGATAATCTATAAAGCATTAGCTGATTAGTAAAGTAATCTGTAGTACAAGGATTACAAGACTCCAAATTAATCTCTAAATTAAAATCTAAATCAAAAATATAAGGGGGCGGTCAAGTGATTCCCGCCATGCGGTTTTTATCATATCTCTTAAACTAGAAGAGATAATTTGATTCTGTAAAGAGCATTCGATAGAGCCATATACGCTGCATCTTCCGAATAGCCGGTCAATATATTTTGATTTAGATTTTAATTTAGAGATTAATTTGGAGTCTTGTAATCCTTGTACTACAGATTACTTTACTAATCA